TATGACAATAAAAAGATTAAGACGAAGTAAGGTACTGTTGGTGAGAGAGAGAGAGGAGGGAGTGAGAGACAGACACTGAGAGAAACATCATGCTGGTGGGTAGATCCGGGTCACACCACCACCACCCCCAACCACCCCACACCCCCTGCAGCTGCTAGTGTGTGTATGTGTGTGTGTATGTGTGTGTGTGAGTGTGTGTGAGTGTGTGTGTGTCCTTTGACTCGGTCAACAGGGAAGCCCTCTGTCGTTTTGGTTGCCCACCAAAATTCATCGCTATTGTGAGGCAATTCCATGATGACATGAAAGGCAATGTACAATGGGACCCAGTCTGAGTTCTTCCCTACCCAAACGGGGGTAAAACAAGGATGTGTACTGGCACCAACTCTCTTTTCCACTTTCTTGGCTGCCTTCCTTATTCGTGCTAGTGCCAATCTAGCCGGCGGGGTAGCCCGTTGAAGAGGCTTTTCAACATTGGCAGGAATAAAGGTGTCGAGTACTTCCAACACTATACTTCAGTAAGCAGACGACCTCACCCTCGTCTCTCACACTGAACGGGACCTACAAGAGATCCTAAACACCTCAGCAGATACATATGCACACTTTGGCCTCAAGGTGAACGAACACAAGACACAGATTCTCTTCCAGCGTCCTTGGTTCAGCCACGCCTCCACCGTCCTTCCAGGTTGATGGGACCATCCTCCCCAACGCTAACCATGGCCAATATCTTGGCTTACACATGTCCATCACCGTACAGAACATCGATGAAGAGACCCAATATCAGATCAAATGTGCGTCTCAATCCTTTGGCAGACAGCGTACCAGTCTGTAGCTGTTGGGGGCTGAATTCAGCTACAAAACTGCAAGCAGCGGTCCTCCCCAGTATAACAACGATACATGAATCACATACAAGTACACAAGACATCTCGAGGCGCTTGAGAACTTTCACCAATGTTTCCATCTTCCGAGTCCGCTGGGAAGACGGTAAACGAATGATAACGATTAATTTATTTACTTACAGTGCCTCAGCATGAGAACTGTATCAGACTTGAGAGTGAGCAGTGGCTCGAATCTTCGTTACTTCCTGGGAAGGCAAGAAACACGTGAGCTAGTTTGTGTACAGGGAGTTTGTTGGTCATTTAAACAAGGCTGACATAAGGATGTAAGTCACGCCATCACCCTCAACCCACTCGGTGTTTGAGGCAGCACCTGCACACCAATCATGACCCTTTTTCACTAGGTAGGAGGATGGACACATGTCTCTGTCCAATGAAAATCAAACAATTATAAGTAAAATCGACATACAAACTGATGACTTCTCTTTTAGAAGTACCTACAGTAGATGTATATGTCTCTTTGTTTTAAATTTTTGTGTTTGGTCTGCCCGAGAAGAGCAGTAATAAACTATAACATAATCGCCACCCAGGATAAAGAAGCTACCAATAACGAACTTTAGAGTGTGAGCTGCGACCTCGTGGAATAGTCTGCCTGTGGATGCTGTAATAGCACCTTGTGGCAACTCTTTTCCTGTCCAGACCAGCTGTTAGACCACCATTGGTGTATACTGGGGTACACTAAAGACCTTGTATGTATACCCAGCACCTGCCTATAGTGTGACTCTGAGAAGTGAGTGAACGATGAATAAAACCCCAAGAGACAATCCATCTTCCTAACCTAAACGACAGGAAGCGAATACCAGAGACGCAAGCCACGGAACCTATCGATGCACAGAGCAAAAGGACTTCTATTATTGTTATACAGAACTATTGTACACACACACACATACACACACACACACACTGACGGTAGTGATCGCTATGACATAATTAATATGCTCGCGACGTATTCATAGTGTCTGCCAATTTCAAGATGCATAGATGATTCCTGAGGGAATAGCTGTGTTTGGAAGCTAAGCAAAAGATGCAGTACAGTACTGGTAGGGTTAATGGGTTATGACTGGTGGGTGTGTGTGTGTGTGTGTGTGTGTGTGTGTGTGTGTCCGTGTGTGTGTGTAATAATAATAATAATAATAATAATAATAATAATAATAATAATAATAATAATAATAATAATAATAATAATAATAATAATAATAATAATAATAATAATAATAATACACGGTTTATTAATAAAGTTGCAGCCGGTGGCTGAAAATATACAAACTTACATTTGATTTAGACATAATGATATGCGTTCAATACATTTACAGGGCTGTACAGTACATAAATCAGGAGTTGTTTATTATTGACAATAGATGGGGTAGTGCTATTCTTATATCTATTAGTGCGGGCTCTTATGGGCTGAATTTTGTTGTAGTGGCGGACTGCGCGAGATGGGCGGGGGACTGCCGGTGGCAGGAGGTGGCGATGACGAGGATGGTGCAGTAGTCCACTGCCAAACCTTGCTAGTGCTTGGTGGTGGAGGTCACTGAGGGATGATATTTCCAGGGTGGAGAGAGCGTTGTTGTAGCCAGAGTAGTCTGCGCCGAGCATGATTCTGCAGGCCCTTTTTCTGTACCTTCTCCAGCTGACGTTGTTGGGTAGAGTTGAGAGAAGACGACCAGGCTGGTGACGCACACATTAATTTGGGGAGAATAAAGGCGTTGTAGAAAGTCCTCAGCTCTGACGTGGGTGCCCCAAGTGACCTGAGTGTGTGCCCGTGTGTGTGTGTGTGTCCGTGTGTGTGTGTGTGTGTGCGTGTATGTGTGTGTGTGTGTGTGTGTGTGTGTGTGTGTGTGTCCGTGTGTGTGCGTGTGTGTGTGTGTGCGTGCGTGTGTGTACGTCTATCTGTGTGTGTGTGTGTGTGTGTGTGTGTTGGTCTATATGGCAGTAAATGGTACACGATCACATTTGTCAAATACGTGTTAACATCAGTACCACTTTCAACAGCGTCTGTATCTCACGGAGGTTGGACAATGTTAGCCCACAAGTCGTCGGTAAACATTAAGAAGTTGTATATCTTACAGAACCAGCGAAGCAAGAGCTGTATCTAACTCGGCCGTCACGACACCCTCTGTATGGCCGTAAGAGGGTTCAACATTTATTTAAAGCAACACCCTTCCTGCCCCTTGCCCCTCCTCCCCCTTGCCCCTCCTCCCGCAACCCTTGTTCCACCTCCCCCACCCCTTACCCCACCTCCCCCGCTGCTCCTCCCCTCACTCCTTGCAGCGAAGGCATTTGACAAAGTCTGGCATGACGGTCTAAAATATAAGATCCTCCAACTCAGACTTCCCACCAACATTGAAAAGCTGCTTTGCAACTTTCTTGACGGCAGAAATGCCAGACTGGGGGTAGGACAACACACAGGAGAGACCTTCCCACTCATGAGCGGAGTCCCTCAGGGGAGCGTCCTCTCCCCCACCCTATATATTATCTACACAAGTGACACACCGCCTCCCACTAGAATAAGTAACAAAGATATTATGTATGCAGATGACATCACTCAAATAACAACACATCAAGGAAAATCGCGAGCGTTACAGGCCGACAACACCAGGCGGGAATTAGAAAGGGTAAATAATTACGAAAACAATGGAAAATCCAAACCAGTCTCCCAAAATTCACAGTGATACCCTTATGCAGAAGGAAAACCCAGCCATTAGTACCAATAATGCCCTGATAGAATACAAAAGCAGAGGCACCCTCCTGGGCCTGCATATATCCACGACAGGTTACTCCCACCATGTCCACAGCAGGAAGGAAAAAGCAAGAAAAGAGCTGAGAAAACTATACCACTTTAAAGCAGTTCCTGAGAAAATAAAACTCCGCCTGGTGACATCATTTATCACACCGATATTAACTTACCCAGCAATACCTCATCATACTATGAGCACCTGTCAAATATTAAAATTACAGGTGGTTCAAAATGAAGCCCTAAGATTCGTCACAGGTGAAAGATACCCTTTCACCAGAACCACAGCCGAGATACATAGAGACCTGAGAAAGAAAACCATCAACCAGCAGCTGCATACCCTGGCCAGCAGAATCTGGCAAAAGATAGAACGATCAGAGCAAGAACTCCTTCAAAGACTCCCACCACATAACGACAGCAACATACATGGTTCCCCAAAAGTTACCAAATCTCAAAAGGTCCATTACCACCCCCGATCTACACGGCCAGGCAATTGACAACCTCCCTAGACCAGCATCCGCCAGTGGGGTCAGCGGAATATGAAATAAGGCCCTTAAAACACCCATATATGGGACAGGGTAGGAAGTCTAGTGCCTGTACCGACAGACAATAACTAACCCATGACACAACCCTAACACACTATTAGCTTAGCTAGGCGGTCAGCCCGCCCTCTCTTACCTCCTCCTAAACTTCTTCAATTTCCGAACTATAACTTCCTTCCCCCACCTCTGATCTTCCTTCACCTTTCCTTTCTCTACAAAAAAAAACTTGCCCCTCCTCCTCTCACCCCTTGCCCCTCCTCCCCTCACCCCTTGCCCTCCTCCCCTCACCCCTGGCCCCTCCTTTCCCCTCACCCCTGGCCCCTCCTTCCCCCACCCCTGTGTGCTTTACGAGCCGACACACACTGCGGCGTTGTTCATTATCTTACATAATTCTACTACTAATGTCAGCAAGGTTACCCAAATCGTTATAAATACTCGACAATCTATTGGTAACTTTAGCTCATCAATGACCGCATTGATTTTATTGGTGCATCTAATGCAAATTGGGAAACAACCTTTGACTGTTACTCGGTGTGACTGGGTGGCACGAAGAGGAGAGGGCGGGGAGGTAGAGAGGGAGGAGGCGGAGAGGGAGGGAGGCAGGGAGGAGGGAGGGAGAGGGAGGTAGAGAGGGGGGGGGGAGGTGAGGGAGGGGCGGAAGGAGGGGGCGGGGAGTTGGAGGGGGAGGGGACGGTGAGGTAGAGAGGGAGGGGGCGAGGAGCTAAGCTGGTAAAGGCATTTGGGGGAATAGGTAGGCCTTGGGGAATGAGGCGGCAGGAGGAGAGACGGAGAGCGAGTAAGCGACTGAGCGTGAGCGAGGTAACGACGCCAGCGCTCGGCTCCGGTGGCACTGGCAGTGTACCCGGTGATATCGTGAGGGGAGGAGTTCCGCTGTTGAAGCTCTCTCACTCCCTCTGGCATCGTGACAAGAGTGCCAGACGCTTGGCACTTGATTTACTTGTTGAGCCGTCTCTCCTCACCTGGGAATGGGTTTACGTGCTTACATAATACCGCAGTTGGCTTGTGTATGGTGTTATCTCTTATGATATAATAAATACTGTATATTCGGTATGTAGTGATAATAGTAGTGAGTATCTCATCCCTGGTGGCAGCAATGTGTGTGTTCTGGGTGTTTTGTGATAGCTAGTTTAACCCGGATGCAAAGTGAGTACAGTCATATCATTGATCAGTGATGTAATTACTAGGTAAGAACCCATTGATGTAATACATCTACAGGATGTTGTTTGTTGGTAGAGTCCCAGTCATTACACAGTCAGCCACTTACTGTACACTTGTAAACCAAATGTTAATGAAGTGAAGTTTGCATCAGAAACGTGAACAGTTGTACAAGTTATTAGTGTGAACAACAGTTGTACAAGTTATTTCTATGAACAATGGTTGTACAGATTGCACGTGTGAACAACAGTTGTACAAGTTACTCGTATAAACAACAGTTGCACAAGTTACTCGTATGAACAGTAGCTGGTCAACCTACATCCCGTGAATTTAGCGAGCCTCGGGCAGCTGTGCCATATTTCCAGTTACGTGATCGTTTCCTCAAGGAACTGTGAGCCGAGGAGACTTAAACTAACCCGTAAAGATGCAGACACAATTCAGACAATACTTGGACGTTGAGCGACTGTTTAAGGTGAGATGTTTAGGTTGTGGTACTTAATATAGAGTAAACTACTTATCTCTGAAGGGTAATGTACTATGTTGAGGGACGGTGAACCACTTAATGTGCTAGCCACCTAACGTAAGCACAACCAACTAACATGTAGGGAGATCATTGTTGACATTTATTAATTCTCCAGAGGGTGAAGTGCTTAAAGACTTTGGAGAGGTAGAGTAAGCTTCTCAATCTCCAAAGAGTGAAGTGCTTGGAGTCTTTGGAGAGGTAGAGTAAGCTTCTCAATCTCCAGAGGGTGAAGTGCTTGAAGTCTTTGGAGAGGTAGAGTAAGCTTCTCAATCTCCAAAGGGTGAAGTGCTTGGAGTCTTTGGAGAGGTAGAGTAAGCTTCTCAATCTCCAGAGGGTGAAGTGGTTGAAGTCCTTGGAGAGGTAGAGTAAGCTTCTCAATCTCCAGAGGGTGAAGCGCTTGAAGCCTTTGGAGAGGTAGAGTAAGCTTCTCAATCTCTAGAGGGTGAAGTGCTTGAAGTCTTTGGAGAGATAGAGTAAGATTCTCAATATAGCGCCACAGTTTCAGTTCCCCGGTTCGGTATGTGAGAAGGATGTTATTCATTCTGTCCCTGCCGAACAAGTTACCAGGTTTTCTCCGGTGTGCTCCAGTTTCCACCTGTACTAACACAAGACAATGGAGGATAAAAACTCACCAGGAACAATAGGAGGAGGGAAGGGGTATTAAACAGCCTGTCTCAGTCAGAGCGATAAATTAAAGAATATTTAGGATGAGTCACAAACCACATATGGTAAAACAGTATACACTCAACTACTAAAGTCCGTTCGCCTCTCCCTCTGCACCACGAACCTCGAGAGATTGAGACTCATGAATCCGAAGCATTTATGGACAGAATAATGTATCCGTTTACTCCTTCGGGTTCATGAGTCTTAATCTCTCGGGGTTCGTGGTTCAGAGGGAGGGGCGAACATTCTTTAGCTGTACGGTAAATCTCAACGTGTGTTGTAATATATATACTGCATTGTAGCATTGTATGCACATAAAGCGATTGTGTTTTCACCGCTGCATCTGCCGGTTTTATAAATATCCTCGGGTTGATTTTGTTTTAATGTCTTGACTATTTTTATTTAATTCCTCGGCAACATTTTTAGGGTATTCAAGAAGTATTATTTTCTCGATACAAATTTTCTTTTCTTGGTCATCATGATTCGGTTTATCTGAGTACAAACCCTAAAGTGCATAACAATTACATCAGACCCCGCAAACTTCTTGAGGAATTGTATTATAATATTAACTTTTGCCTTTATTTTCTTACACCTGGTTAGGTTAGTTTCACATTGAAAATGTCTAGAGCATCACAGAGAGCCTATTTTTTCCGGGTTTAGGGCGACTCATATTTACAGTAATTATTCTAAACTACCAACCTGCTTAATGGATTTAAGCCTACCTGTGGTGCAACTACCACTGAAAAGTCACATCATTAATTTTAAGAGTTGACATTTTAAGTTTTTTTACACGAACACTTTAACCCAATCCAACTCAATTGTATATTTTCAGCCTCTAGCTGCTGTACTTTTCAACAAACTGTTAATTACTGTTGTTGTTGTTGTTGTTGTTGTTGTTGTTGTTGTTGTATATACATTATATAGTATTAAAACGTAAATGATGTTGTTGACACATGAGGACGACATGCACACGGGATCTAGGTGCTTGTTTTCATCCAGCGTTAAGAGCCACTCAAGCATGATCTAATATGCGTTGCTAAGGTGGCCAAGAGTTTGTTTATACCCACCGATTGCGTTGCTAGGTGACGTCAACGGCAAGTTCATGCTCATCTGAAGACCCATGAAACAGTCGTCGTCTGTCACCGTTCACAAAGCTTCTTTTTACAACATAAACAAACATTTTACAAAACATTCTCCCGGTGATGCATTATTGTTTTATTATCTTTTCTAGACATGATCCCATCCACTGTGATGCTTAAACCACAGTAAAAACATTATAACATTAACAAGTTTGAAAAAATCGCTTTACTCATTCCCACAGTTGAGATTGGCAATACAAAAAAAAGGTTTAATTTGCTTATTTTTTTATTAAATATATACAAAAATTACATTGTTATAGACTGCAGAGATAAAATACAATAAGAGTGTACTTAGACTGTATTATTATAATACTTATTGTTAATAGAACAGACGAGTAAACCTCACAGCGTTAGGTTAGGTGGACCGGTGGGGTTAGGTTAGGTTAGGTTAAGTGGGCCGGTGGGGATAATGTAAAGCAAAGTAATGTAAAGTATTATAAGTAATGTAAAGTATAAGTAATGTAAAGTATTATATGTAATGTAAAGTATTATATGTAATGTAAAGTATTATAAGTAATGTAAAGTATTATAAGTAAGGTAAAGTATTATATGTAATGTAAAGTATTATATGTAATGTAAAGTATTATAAGTAAGGTAAAGTATTATATGTAATGTAAAGTATTATATGTAATGTAAAGTATTATATGTAATGTAAAGTATTATATGTAATGTAATGGCTCAAATTCATATTGTGTTTGATAGGAAAATTAAAAATAGTAAATAAATCGTGTACATACTGTATAACCCCGGAGGACATAGTCTTTCACCTGGGATTTAATTGATCACGATGCTGTGTTCTCTCTTGTTGAAAGTTGAACATTTCTCTCTGCCGGACCAGTGTGTGTGTGTTGTCGCCTGAGTCACGTTCGTCAAACTTGTTCGTGGGGTTAGTCAGTTACGCCAGCATTGTTTACTCATTATCGTCTCTCTGTAGTTACATCAGAGTAATCTAGCAACATTAACTGGGAGAATAACTTTCTTCCCTAAGAAATCTTCGCCCTAGATTCTCAAAGAGTTGGTTCGATGTGTCTTCGTTAACTCAGGTAATGTTAAAAAAAAAAGAATAAATAAATATCAAAAAATAAATAAATATAATAACATCAGTAACAGCTCACCACTATCTCAACTATATACAGTATTTTCATTTGAAAGGTGTAAAGAGACAAAGTTGCTTGTCAAATCTGTGAATGTACCTAATTAAGGTGTACAGTGTGGGATGTCGTGAGACAGTCGGACTTCTTCCCTGCTTGCAGCCTTAGGCGTTCATGTCACTAGTTTGCTCCTGAATATCTACTTATCTTTAGAGCTGAGTGGAGGTGGTCGCGTACAGTGCAGGTCACTCTGCCTCCCTCCTTGTCTACCGAAAGCTTACTGTAGTAATTTGGAACTAATTTTCACAAAGTTGGAGACTGAGGAGTACGAGAAACCCAGGGACGAGTTTATGGGTTTCCTGCCAGGTGTGGAGATTCTGTCAACATCCGGTAAATGTATACTGTACACTCACCCGTAATAAGTCCTGTCAGTCCTCTCTTCCATCCATGAACCCTGAGGCTCATGAACCTGTGAATCCGAGACATGATACATTGTTGGACCCATAGATGGTGCACTGTGTGGCGTCTCGTATTCACAGGTTCATGAGTCTCAAGGTTCATGGCTGGGAAAAAGGGCTGGCAGGACTTTTTTGGATGGGTGCATATACCATGTTGGGAAGAATATTTTTAGTCCATAAAAAGCCCAGAGAGACAATACAAATATTGTCATCAAGTCTCTTCACCGAGGCGTCCCCTTGCCAAAGATCGAAGAGATTTGAGGCAGGATGATATGAATTGTTTGGGTTTAGATGACATTGTTTATGAAGACATAACATTCGACTTCCTTGTCGACAATGTGTCCCCGAGTATTGTATCGCCGTCTGCGTCTTCGTCTGTACTAGTATTTGTGTGGACCCAAAATAGCTCTTCACCGTATTACATATGACAGAGACCATTTTACTTATCAACAACCTTTTGTCGTATACAAAGATCCTCTCCTTGGGTGTAATGTCAACTGTTTATAATATACAGCATTTTCTTCTCTCTAAACCAACCAGTTCACATGTCAACACTCTTTCCCTGTAGCTGTATATATACAAACACAGTTTAAGGTACATATACAACATTTTCTACCACCGCCTTAGATAAAAACAACATTTTCTTAAATATAAACACAGCAGTTTACATATATAGCACCACTCTGGGAGACTGTGTGTGTGTATGTGGCACCACCATAACACCACTCTGGAAGACTGTGTGTGTGGTGCTGTGTGAAGAAAGGGCACCACACAGCAGCATTCAGGGAGACTGTATATATATATATATATATATATATATATATATATATATATATATATATATATATATATATATATATCCATCATCACTACAGATCGGTAAAAGTAGTTTTGAAATTCTCATGTGGAACACAAACAAACACACACAGACACTTCTTTTTTATTATATATATATATATATATATATATATATATATATATATATATAAAATAATCACAAGGAAAAAGAAAACACGAAGTTCCCAAGCGCTTTCGTGAATTCACATCTTCAGGGGTGAGTACAGTCTGTACTCACCTGGCCTTCTCTTCTGTGTTATCGCATATACCTAGATCACGCTTGCTTACAGTGATTTACTTGCATTTATATATATATATATATATATATATATATATATATATATATATATATATATATATATATATATATATATATATATATACATACACACATTACGAACGCTACTACCTTACTTGCTTAATCCTCTTCCAAAATCTAATAACAAAGTCTATATATTTTTTACGTTGGTGTATTTTCCCAGCGATATATTTTTTACCTTCAATTTTTTTTTTAAATTTTGTGTTTTTGCTGATGGTATTAATGCATCAATATACCATTTTGGAGGCGCTCAAGGTCATATGCAAGTCCACCTCCTATTGTATTGATTACTTATCGAGGTTAGGTTAGGTTAGGTTAGGTTAGGTTAGGTTAGCATTATCAACGTCTCTCTCTCTGCTGTGAAAACTAATAACTGATTGGGTGTTGAAGGTAATATTAAGGGTCAGCTTTACCTGACTTATCACCTATATTAAAGGCAGTA